GAAAATGTTTGGGGACTTATGAAGGAAAGTGTCAATAAGAAAAATCTGACAAATATTGCTGAAATGAAAGAAGAGGTGGTCCGATATTGGGACAGCATGGACCACGACTTTCTAAACTCTTTGATCAGTAGTATGCCCCGCCGCATTGAAGCCTGCATTGCTGCCCATGGTGACTTGACAAAATATTAACTGTTCACCTGTGTTTGAATCTGGAGTTATGTTCTGCTAATATTCACATTTAATACGTGAGTAATGAGTGAAAAAAAATAGAAAAAATTACAATCTTAAATTCTCAATAATTTCTGGTTGTACTGTACATTTCATAACAGAAAATACATACATTCAGCGTGGCAGTGCTTAGAATGAATGAATAAATTTCTTTATTTCCTACAGAATTTACATCCGAAGATTTACAATATCCCTGTTGTTACTCAGAGCAAATACATGATAGTATGTACATGAATGTAAATATAAGTCCGAGTGACACAAGCTGTATAAGTAAATAGTCGATATCACATATGTACACAAATGACAGCTATTGCTGCACAGCAGATGAAAAGAGAGGATGGTCCAATACATTTTGCAGATGAAGTACATATTTACAGAATAATAGTGATACACTTCCAAAGTAGTCTGGCTTACAATTCCAGATAGTGTTTGAGCCGAGCCCCAAAATAGTGCAAGCATCTCATTTTCATCCAAAAGTTCAATTTGAACATAACTGTCAACATCCAGTTTGTCAATGAGGGTGGAGAAGGAATCATTTCGTTCAGCTAATATAATACTCACAGTGTAAAAGTACATGTCTGTCATAATTAAAAGCAAGTCTGCCATATTTGGAACATTCTCGAGATGTAATTGGTCTGGAAGCTATCTTAACAGAGTACTGACTGATTTTTCAAAACAAACCAAAACCCTTATTATATATGAAATTTAATAGGAATGCGTTCTTTGCTTCATGCATGAATTAACATTTGTGTTGACTTCAACCATGATGATCTATTTGAAACTATACATCCTAAATAATTAAAGTACGTTGCAACATTTAGCTTATACTTCCACGTTACAGTAATTTTTAGTTTACCACAATTACGGAATACAAGGATTTCAGTTTTGTTGAAGTTAACTCTCAAGCCCCACTACTTACAGAAGGATGAAGTACATCAATTCTTTTTGGGGGGGGTAAACCAAATGTAGGATCAGAAAACAAGCACAAAACATCGGCTTATAACAATAATTAACTTTCTCGAACGTCCTCGCCTACAAAAATACCACTACCACCCTGTAGTTGTAATTCATCTTCAACTTGATTAATAAACATTGAAAATATAAGAGGACTTAATATGCAACCTTGTCTTACACCACTTTTAAAGCATCAAAGCTTTCTTGTGTGGTTTCCGTGTGATGTACTCTGGATCCATGCTGACGCCGACACACAATCTGTCAGGTGACACACAATCTGTCAGGTGGGAAGTCGTTAAATAATAGTAGATGAGTTCAGGTGGACCAGGCGATGACACCCCCAGGTAGAATTTCACGCGGGAACGTTCCTTGAACGTCTGTAACCCCGTTACTAGGACGCCGTTCACAGCTTTGCTTTTCACACTCACCGGGTTAGACAGTACGACAGGGTCAAGGGTCTAGGACGTGATATTTGTGGGATAATTTGTGGGACTTGTTTGTGCATGCGTAATATGTGTGTACCAAATTGAACAAGGACGGGAACTGACTTAGTCTTCAACCGTTGGACAAACGGGCACAGGGAAAGAGAAGGATACTTTGAATTCAGGAAAACTGATTTTACGTTCCAAATGTAATCGATTCCTTTATACGGCTCAGAACTTTGGAGTTTTAAACAATATAACTGAAAAGTGCACGTACAATTACATGCATGCTAACGCCAGACAGTCAGACATGCGGACAGACATATTATGGACAATAGCGTAGCTGATAGCTAGCCTGTGGAGTATCGATATTGAACAACGAACGAGTTGATGTGTACAATGCATTGATTTATTTAACGAGATGAAATAATTTAGAGGAATGTACAAATAAATAAATTGAAAGACGTGTACTCTAGCAATAATATTGCAACATGTGCTTCTGCATTTAAATACACGGTCATATAGACATCTTTAGTACACGTCACAATGTTCAGTTACATGACAAAGTATCCGCTCAATTTCTGAGGACCGGCCATGCGTCTCAGCTGAACTACAAGGTTCAGTCTGGAAAGCGAACCAACGATGTTGTAAGGGACTCAGCTCTGCAGAGGAAGTTGAAATGCCTTAGAACAGCGATGATGAGGATATGTGATGTGAGGTGAGTTTAACATCGCGTTCAAGGTTATTTCATTTATATAACGACGTGCAGTGCATAAGTGTGTGTGTGTGTGTGTGTGTGTGTGTGTGTGTGTGTGTGTGTGTGTGTGTGTGTGTGTGTGTAATGCTGAGTGTGTGTTGTGTGGTGGTGGTGCTCTGGGTGTGTGTGTGTGCGTGTGTGGTGGTCGTGCTGTGTGTGTTGTGTGGTGGTGGTGGTGCTCTCTGTCTGTCTGTGTGTGTGCGTGTTGTGTGGTGGTGGTGCTCTCTCTCTCTCTGTGTGTGTGTGTGTGTGTGTGTGTGTGGCGGTGGTGTCGCTCTGTCTGTGTGTGTTGTGTGGCGGTGGTGTCGCTCTCTCTGTCTGTGTGTGTGCGTGTGTGTGTGTGTGTGCGCGCGCGCGCGTGTGTGCGTGTGTGGTTATATAGTACCACCGCACACAACACTAACGAGATACCCGGTCTTTGTTTTAAGTCACATGTGATATGCACCTGGCTTGACAGTAACAACATTTAACGTCATTTCCTTAGACGTAGTCTGGACCACCGGTCTCCTTAGCATTCGCTCAATCCACAAAACCGTGGAGAAGGTCATCTGTAAAGTTTAATTTAAGGCCTAATTGTACAGTATTTTAGGTATGAAAGCGTGTCAACTTCACGCAGGAAGAACGTTAAGCAGTTCACGTATTTTTACCATTTTGGTGAACTTACTGAGCGTGCATATGGTGCCAACAAACAACTCCAAATAGACCGAATCAGGCCCCTACGATCATAGGGTGCTTGACAAGGCTGAACAGCGACTTACAACTCTCGAATCGAGACTTTCCACGTTTATATTCTTTACAGTCAAACCTCTTCAGTACGGAATTTCGGCCCTCTAGATAATTACTGATGCAATGTTTTCACCGGGTACTAACTAACAGGGTTTTTCTTAATTTATGTTAGTGAAACCCATGTCAATCTATACACGTTTCGTTTCAGAATATGAAGCAGTTCAAGTTGGTTACCAAAACTTAAATATGTCCATCCTGGGGGTTTTTCACCATTGTATTTTAATACCCTACAACAGGTCGATACAGTACATCTTCCATAATCCAGGATATTTCATCGTCATTCTATTCTGATCCATACCCTGGGTCTATTCGCCACCATAGCTGTGTGTTGTGTCCGGTTCAGATGATATAACGCTATAAAAGACGCCAAATCAAGTTGGTCACAGCCACAGACAATTTTGTCCGTTAAGGAAAATTACTAATTCCCGATGAGCGATCCTTCCGATTGTTCGGGTCGCTCCGGTAATTTCCGTGTTTCATCCGATGATCGCGTTTTCGATCCACTATATATATATATATATATATATATATCTTACACGTTCATTTCGTACTTTTCAATCCAGATGTTTTGCCCGCCAGCCATAGGTTTACCCCTTATTAATGAAATGTATTTGTTATTTTACCATGATTCCTACCAAGTGGTTATCTATATTGGCAAATTTCAACTCAAGTCCCCCAAGGTTGCATTATCGATTCTAAAGTACTTGTATCAACAAATGAAAGTTAAATTTCCCTGACGCATATGAAAAGGCTTAAATAAATAAATAAATAAATTTCACGATGATGTCACTTGGAGAAAGACCTAACCTGCCAATCCCAGTGTGTTGACATTTGTCAACAGTACCTATTTCCCATGCGGTATGATGACGAATAGATCCAGAGTATACATGGAGTGTGGCGCTGACAACCTTGAGATCTAATTGTGCGAACTAGGATTTGAATCTACAATCATAGGTTCCTGGCATGCCCAGGAGATGCAAGTCAGCACAGCGAATTTAGGGGACAATGTAACTCGTCCTCATAACTTTAGGTCCTGGGGAGCCCGAGTGAAAGGCACAGTTGGCCATTTGAGTGGAAACGGTTTTGTCACGCCTTCAGCAAGAGCTAAGGATCATATGCACCCGTTTCCATACCCTGTTTTGGACAAAGCCATGCTGTTCTGTAGATTACCCGGGTGGAGCTTAAGAACGCCACCCGGCTGGCACGTATAATCACTGGTTAAACAAAGTTACTTGTTACCAATGAGTAAAACGATGCAATGCAATTTAAAGAATCAAACTGCAGGTTCGAATTGCCAACTGTATTTAGCTTAAAAGTGAACATTCATTTTGATAAGGCTACCGCCGGTATCTGCACGAAAATCGGATCCTTATTGAATAAATTAAGGGTTTCATTACAATGGACATACAGTGTCATCCCCAAAAATGCTTTGTTTCATGAAGTGCTTTTTTCAAGACCTAAAGGCACGGTGGTAAAATATTTTGACAGAGTATTCAAAACAGTAGCTCGCCTGGATATGTAATTCAATAATTTATATAACAAAGAGTGAGTGAGTGAGTGAGTTTAGTTTTACGCCGCACTCAGCAATATTCCAGCTATATGGCGGCGGTCTGTAAATAATCGAGTCTGGACCAGACAATCCAGTGATCAACAGCATGAGCATCGATCTGCGCAATTGGGAACCGATGACATGTGTCAACCAAATCAGCGAAACTGACCACCCGATCCCGTTAGTCGCCTCTTACGACAAGATAGTCGCTTTTTATGGCAAGCACATGGGTTGCTGAAGACCTATTCTACCCCGGATCTTCACGGGTCATATAACAAAGAGAACCTCTAAACAATTACTGTCAGTAATTCAACAGTTTATATAACAAATAGAACCTCTAAACAAAAACTACTGTCTGTAGCTCAACAGTCTAAATAACAAAGAGAATCTCTGAACAATTACTGTCAGTAATTCAACAGTTTATATAACAAATAGAACCTCTAAAGAAAAACTACTGTCGGTAGCTCAACAGTCTAAATAACAAAGAGAATCTCTGAACAATAGCAACTGTCAGTAGTAATATTCACCTATTTTCTACCCAAACACTAAAAGCTAACACTATCATTAATTAACTGAAAACATGAGGGCTGAAGAAGAAACGAGGCAAACTTCAGCTCGCTCAAGCATGGCAGGAATCTGCTGTGAAAAGATATCATAAGGCAAATATGCATTCAGAGTCATAGTGAAAGAGATAATATCAAAACTGTCATTATGGATCATATGACATATGGTTGAACCCCTCTATAAAATATGGCACCGGAAGGACCTTAAATAGCATTATTCAATCAAAAATAGAATGTAACAAGCATCACTGATGCGAATAAGCTCGTTTGGTTTCAGTTTCATTGGTCAAGTTCTTTCTGACAAGAGGGAGATGAAATGCTACATGACAGCGTTTCAGTATGGTCCAAGTGCAAAGGTTAACTAAAAATAATGAATTACAATATCTAAAAATCGGAACATGTTTGTTAAGTTCCACATTTACACATTTGAATGTAAATTCCATTACATTCCGATCACGAATTGCTTATCAATGGACAAAGAGAGGGAGGGGGTTCTTTTTCAATATCGCTGCAGATATCTTAAAATTTCAGTGTCATTGTTCAAGTGGTTTATACAACCATTTTCGGTGGTCCGTTCGACTGATTTTCGCGGCTGTTTTTCCCGTTGCACAGAATGCAGTTTCTCATGAAGACTGGGTAATCTTTTGCACTGGCGTTTATATTGAAAGAAGAAGCTATTTACCAGCGTCAACAAATGACAAACAGACCAAAGAAGCTCACTTGAATTTCAGTCAGGAATGATCAGGTTCCATAAGTGACGAACTGGAATTTAGAAAGTGTAATACTAGTATTTGTCCAGATTATGTTAGAACGTGCCATGAAATAAGCTCGGATTTTACCCGTGATTCTGCTTTCAGCATAATATCCATTTCAATTCTAGACCATAACCGGATAGGATGACAACTTGTTATGCAAATATCGACATATTTATTAGGTACCTCAATAGTACCCTATCTGAAATAATGTTTGGGTGGCGTGCAGCGGACATGACGCTCAGCCGTCCATAAATACAGAAATATACGACCGGTAGATTCATTCATAACAAACAATAAACAATAAATAAACTTTGAAAAAAAATAATCTATAACAAAGTGATAGTTCATGAATCCAATAATTTAGAAAACAATCCAGGGTAGTCGCTGAGGAGCCTTTGGGGCCCCTGGAGCCTCTGGAGCCCCTCCACTCCTCATAAGACTTCTTCGGAACAAGTCTTGTGGCCTCTTCTTCGCCCCTCATTGGGCCTTTTTAAAACCCATCACGGGGCGTCTTCTCAACTCCATATATTTTTACTAAGGACTCCATTTTTGCACAGACAAATTTGTTCTCGTATATTCTTATTCCAGAAACTACACAGTCTGAAGGTCGGCATTAGACTGAAAATCTCCTTCATTCTGGAAACTGGATCAACACCTTTGTCTGAAATGAATACACACATGTCTTACTGTATAGTAACAAACGGGGAACACACGGTATGGTAGCTAAACAAAATCAATCGTTATATACAAACATTGAGTGAATGTATATGCCACATTTAGCGGAATAAGGTTAAAAATCATAGGAAAGATTCACAACCCCTATACAGTATGCTGTATATAAGCCGGTAACTCAATTGTAGTAGCTAGTGAGGAAGCTAATTACTTGTACAGCTCACTCTCTTGCTACAGTATCCTGTTCATTAGGTAGCCATTACCAGCAGCTTACCAAATTACTAGTACATAAGGAAGCTCCTAACAGCTCACAAACTCACTACAGTATAAGAGGTATATAAGACAGACAGACAGACATACTTTATTCAGAATTTAAGGCCTCATGGCCCAGAGTACATCGCAATAACGATACGGTGTGGTTGTACAGTGAGACCATTTAAATATTTGGGTTCTCTTTAAAAAGATAGCAACATGTTTATCAATGATAAGCCTGCATGATAATAACTTACATAATTTCATCCTTGTGAGAGTATTGATATAAAAGGAAGGTACATACAATTTTCTAAGAGACTCATAACATGGACAAATGAGAGTAATATGATATTCATCTTGTATCTCATGTATAACACCAACATGTGCAGGTTATATCATTTACGTTATCACTGTTACATTGCCTATACGTCTGGACTTTGATATTATGAGACTGACATCTTAATTTAACAAACAACCTTGATAAAACTTCAGGTAAAATATCCGAAAAAATATATGATTCAGCTTCAAAGACAGTTTTAAAGGAGTTATAGAAGGAAAGATAATGTGACTTGTTTAGTCTTGTATAACAGTCTTGAACATTTATTTCAATAAGGCATCTACTCAAGGCTCACTGCTTTACTACTGCACCTTGTGCCACCAGCTATCCAGTTACATAAGGCAGATACTCACAGCTGATATGCGCCCTCAGAGCGGATATGAGGAAGGCTCGTGATTCTTCAATTTTCTCGGGCTCCTTCAGACCAATGCAGTCTGAAAACAGAGAAGTATCCCATGAGAACCAAAAACAGAACATATTTAAGGAAGCAGCTATATTAAGGTTATAATTTTATTTATAATTTAAAGTGGTTTACATTTTCAAGAATGACCTTGTGATTCTGTATGTTTGAAAGCTTACTTTGTCAATGTTGATAAAGAAAAACCCAGATGCATTAACTTTCCTATAATTTGTTTCTCTGTAACCCACTTTTTAATACGATAACGACCACCTTCATAGTGATCAGTGCCAGACCTGTAGGTCAGAGGTTGTCTCTGCTGCATCGTTACAACAAAGATGATCACAAACATTATCCCTACCCCCAGCAATGACGTTCAGGGCCGACACCATCGCTGCCTCTGTCCTGTCCATCTTCAACTCGTGGACTTCCTCTGCCAGCTGGAAGGCAAGCTTCCTGTAGAAGTATATAGGGTGCCATTCTGGCAGTTCCAAATGAAACATTTGAAAAAATGTTTTGGTCTTTGCGTTGTACCATTCCTTTGTAGCAATGATCAAGATGTTGGCAAAAGACATATTCTGCACCACGAAATTGCGGTCCTCGGGGTTCAGATCTTTAAAACCTGAAAATATGATACATCATTTATTGTCTGTTAAATCTTATTGTGATCATTCTTTGAAATCAAATCATTTGTCAATAATGATCATATAAGACCATTGTGACTACAAGATATGAGTGATTATTTTATAGTGAGTGAGTTGTGTTTTACGGTGCTTTTAGCAATATTCCAGCATTATCACGGCGGGGGACACCAGAAATGGGCTTCACACATTTTACCCATCTGGGGAATCGAACCGTGACGAGCAATCGCTTTAACCACTAGGCTACCCCACCGCCCCTAATTTTATAGCTTACATTAGATATAACTTACAATTATAAATCATGAAAACAGTTATTTACACTGACAAAATATTCTTACACACAATATTTCGTATATTTTGTTGTCAAACTTTATTGTGGTAATTGTTGTTGGCAGTAGCGTCAAAGGCAATAGTGGTACAAAATAAATAATACGTTCTCCATGATTGTTTGTTTATTCCAAATCAATAAACATTTAAAGTGTGAACAATTGTATATGTTATATTAGTTTATATTGCCGTTATCAGAACCGTAACATATATGTTTTGGGACTTATAATGTAGAAAATAGGACTGACATGCACAATTGGTGTCACTCACTGTCAAACACTTCAGTTCCCAATATATCGCAATACGGGTACCAGAATCGCAATATATTGCAATACAATGTATTTGCCAATACACAGCCCTAAGAGATAGTAACATAAAAGATTCTGGAGGTCCTTTACGATGTAGCAGCATATTTCGCTTACCAGGAACTTTACTCATGAAGACCAGCTCCTCCTTAACGTATGTCAAAATACGTCGAACCGAGTATTCCAGAAATGCAAGATCCTCGTACATCGGCCATTCCCTGAGCTGAAACAGCATTGGTAATGCTAAACGTATGCTTGTATTTCTATCTGAGTCTTTGTACCGATACAACTGTAGAAATAATGGAGCTCCGTTGAAGTAACCTTTGTCATATGTTTCAAGCATGTATTGATTCATCAAAATATGCAGATTCATTGTATGTTAAATGTATAGGTCATTCTTAAGTGACAAAATGATTTGTAACGTGGTTGTCATGTCAAACAACATTGTCATGAATATCAATCCGTTTCAACGTAAGTGACATTGCAAGCCGTGTCAGGTTGATGAGTGAGTGAGTGGGTTTAGTTTTACGCCGCACTCAGCAATATTCCAACTATGTGGCGGCGGTCTGGAAATAATCGAGTCTGGACAAGACAATCCAGGGATCAACAGCATGAACATCGATCTACGCAATTGTGATACGATGACATGTGTCAACCAAGTCAGCGAGCCTGACCACCCGATCCTGTTAGTCGCCTCTTACGACAGACAAGCATGGGTTACTGAAGATCAATTCTAACCCGGATCTTCACGGGTCGTCAGGTTGATGTGGGAGCCTGGATTGTTACAGGTCCTAGGCGTTAACAACTTCGGGGAAACCCACAAGCACGAAAATGGTGCCAAACCTGGAAACACTATTAGGTCAAACCGGGATTTGAACCCACGAGTATGCACATTATTTAACCATGCTACAGTGCTCTCCACGGTTCAGTGAATTAACGGGTCTGAGGATGTAAGAGATATGATCAACTAACATGAATAAACCTCTCTTCCGGTGCCATATGACTCTCGCTGAGGTTATTGAGAATCTCCATATACGCCTCTAGCATGTCTTGCAGGACCTTGTGCTGAGCACTGGACATCTGGATCTCATTGGGAGAAGGCTTCACTCTACTCCAGTAATGACAAACACGGTCCACGGGGAAACGGTACTCGGTCTCCAGTTTGCTGGCCAGGTGTCGCTCCTCGGGAAGGATTAGGTGGGAGGATGGAGCTGATCTTGTCGACAGAGTACGGGTTTGTGTGGCTAGGCCTCTGTAACAGCATTTCAGCTGGTCCCTAGAGGCTTTCATCTTGGCCTCGTGGTTCAACGGTCGGTTGAAGGAGTTTAAGGAAGTGCACTTTTGATTAGTCTGGTATGACGAATGATTGCTTGATTCAAGTCGTTGCCGAACATTCTTCAGAAGGTTTACAGACCCAAGGAAAAATGTATTTAATTCCTTTATAACATTCCCGTCTAGTGTGTAGAATTTTCTCTTGGGAGCATCAGAAGTGGTGTCGTCTGTTGGTGACTGAGGTACCCGAGCACTTTGTTTAATGGCACTTGGAGAGCAATTTCCTTGCCCATTCAGCATAACTTCGTCTTGTGAAAGACTCGGCTCACTGGTATGAACATGCATTTCATAGAGTTTAACACTGTTATATGAAGAAGGTTTCTCTGTATATGTCTCTCCACGACTAGTAGAAACTTCTGTATTTGGGGAATGAGATCTACCCAATACATTGTGGTTCACTTCAGTGCTGCTAGGAACGGGAGTGACATGAAGGGCATGCCTCCTTGAAGCAGGAGACCAACAGTGACTGCTTTTGCCGGATGAGGCCACCGGAAAGTGGGGTCCAGTATTAGGAGACCCTTCCACCGCTCCCATATATTCAGACTTTCTGGTTTCAGGTGGAGAATTTGATAAATCTAAAGGAATGTCCTCTGTTATCATATTAATTGGATCATCAGGTGATGATGGTTTATATTGTTGTATATCTGGGGAGCTGTCCATATGAACGTCTGGAGGTGAGCTAGTGTAACTGAATGAGTCACTGTCCTTCCTTCTTCTCTTTGGCTCTGAAGCTTGATCATCTGAATCTGTGGTCTGAACAAGAGGAGAAAATGTCAGTGGAGAAGAAGGGCTGGGTGGAACTGAGTGTGGTGACTGATGAAATTGCTGGCTCATCTTTCGAAAGCCCATCACATCCCTCATATTTTGATTTGCTGCATTTACAATTGAAACATTGCCAGCATCGAAGTTCGGAAAGACGTGATCTTCAATACACATTTCGTTCGTCGTATGGCTCTTCCCCATCTGGGGTGAATCTGTTATCACATGAGCCTGAACGGTAGGTGCAACTAGAAGATGGTGTTCCGGGATGGCTGACCCATCGCTACTATCAGTCACGACAGTCCCATTACCCTTCTTATCTCCAGCCATTACTGTCTTGCTTTCCTCCACTGTGAGAAGAGATCTGAGAATACACTTTTTGAGAGGCAGTGATCCTCTTGACAGTCTTTGACAGTGATCTGCGGTCTTTCCATCTCCACTCCCAGAAGAAGAGTCAGAATCAGGTGAAAAGGATCTTCTTCTTCCATCTGTAGGCACCACACGGTCAGTTGTTTGAGCTATTGTCATGTCGTCCAATAAAGGAGACAACCTGTGTCCAGTCCCTTCTCTGTCCTCACAGAAGGAGTTCCTGTTAACTGAAGCATTGGGCAGTCTGTTGGCAATGATCTTTGAAAGATCGTCCTGGTCTCTTCCAAGCTTTTTTGGACGACCCATCTTAATAGCTGAGGAAGATAAAAGTATTAAATTATTATCATCACCACCATCATCAATAAGTTTATATCTCCAGAACCTTTAATAAGATTTAGAATAAAGCGGATTACTCATTTGTTGTACCCTGGAACTGAGCTGACTAAAGGTCTTAGATGGCAAGAGCAACGACCAGTGCATCGGATGCAGTTTTACACATTGCAGCGTCTGAGACTTATAAATCTACCGTGTCTCTGCCCACTGAACTTACATTTTCAGCTGACCCTACACGTGAAGTAGGTCGAACATAATCTCACTAGTTGGTATGCGCCTAGCGTAAACAACTTAAACATCGTCCAAACTAAACCAGCATGGTCACCGGCCGCCATATTGAATTTTGCAACCTGCCGCAAATGAAAAGTGAGAAAGGTTTTACGCCGCTTTCAGCAATATTCCAGCAATATCACGGCGGGGGGCACCACAAGGCTACCCTACCGTCCCTTGCCACAAATGAAACAATTTTAAGTTTTGAATACACAATGCCATTTAGAAGTGGTCAAATGTAACATATGTTATATTTGGGATTACACTTTCTTAGTAAAGTACACATGTTAAATTTTAAGTTGGTTTCTCTGTTGACATGAACTCACCGCCTCTCGACATGCCGACGTTGAGGCACTTCTGGTAACGACAGTACCGACAGTTGTTTCTGTTACGAGGGTTCAACACGCACAACATGGCTCCTTTACATACATAAGACTGGTACTCCAGAAGGCCACGCCGGAAGAATTTCTACAAAGAGAATACAGTAATCGCGTGTGATAGAGTGACCACTTTATTAAACTGACATAACTGTTGTTTTGTTAGTTGTGATATTTACACGTATATTGAAAACAACCGTAAAAGCTGGGTTAGAATTGGTCTCCAACGATCTATGCTTGTGGTAAGATTACTAAACCAACCTTGCATCCCTCGCAAGTGTAGACGCCAAAATGAATCCCGTTTGCAATGTCCCCACACACCCGGCAGAGCAGCTGGCCCTCGCCTGGTTCCACCGCTTCTGGCTTTTCTGTTTGGTAAATGGACTAAACATTGAAAACGACAACAACTGCATGATAATAGAGAACAAGCTTTATAGATAACAACTATGTTGTATTCGTGAGTGTGACGTTTCGATACAGATTCTTGTACCGTTGTCAAGCAGGAATGGAACATGAAGAAGGGGGATGTATATATAGATACTGAATGTAACAATGTAACAAAGAAAACAACATAATTAACATAATTGGCTAGGCAGTGAGCTGATGAAGCCAGAGTGTAGACAAAGGACAGGCGTGGAAGCCAATGATGTACAAGGTGAGGTGAGGTGAAATTGGGTTTTACGTCGTGCTTGAGAATATTTCGCTCATATGACGACGTGCATGCGTGTGTATGTGTATCTGCGGCTACTTGTACTAGCCCAGACTTAAGCTGGTTTTATAGTGCTAGCCCACTGAGATACCATGCCGCAGTGAAGCATGAATACCCCACTCAGACACATTATACTGACTCCGAGCCGACCAGTCCTTGTAGTACCCATTAATGCCAAGCGCCAGGCAGGGACCAACAAGTACCATATTTTAACGTCTTTTGGTATGACGCGGTCGGGGATCGAGCCCATAACCTTCCGCTCTACGGGCGGACGCTCTAATTACTACACCACGGAGGCGGTTCCATTGATGTACAAATAATAAAGAGATGTTTATACAGTAGAGTTTATACAGTAGACTGGGCTTGGTGGATGAGTGCATCATAAACGGATGGAATGAAGTATACTGTATAAACTCTACTGTATAAACATCTCATTATTATTTGTACATCATTGGCTTCCACGCCTGTCCTTTGTCTACTCTCTGGCTTCATCAGCTAGTTTGTAATCTGTTGCTTAGTTCCTACATTCAAATTTCGGGCTAGTGAATTATTTTGTGGGCTAGTAACTTCCAGGCATAGCTAGCCTGGCTGGCTAACAAAATTTGGAAACTATTTCGCACACTGAAAACAACGCCAGGAAATGATAAAGTCCTGGTTATCTTCCAAGAGTTTAGGCGCAAAAGGCGTTTGAATTGTGAAAACTATATACATGTAAATAGATAAAAAAAATCTTCGAGAAAAGAATAAGCAATTCCGCTCTATTGTCAGATTTAAAATATGATAATTTACCTTGGCTTACATTCAGATGGTTATATTACTTTTCAAAGTGCGTGCTGTGTCGGCCATTTAAACAATAAGCTTTTTACATCAGGACATATACTCCAAATGTGTGATTCATGAAAAAACCCATAAAAAACGGTTTTCAGAATGTTTAAATTAAAATACGCTATGACACCCAAAATCCAACAATACAAGAAATGTATGACAAACGACACATATGGAAACATACCAATATCAGTACTAATGCCAACAGAGATCTTTTTTCAAAAGTATCTTTTTACAGTATTGTTTGGCAAACAAAATGGTCCTAATAGAAATCGCAAAAAAGGGTTTTCACACAACTTCAACATCATAATCCTTGTTTCAGAAGACAGGTGATCTTACTCATTATTACGTAGATACAAAACATTCCCAATATTTGTAAATAAATACAGAGTCGACTTTTTCGATTACAATAACATGAGCATGTTGATAAATCATTAATAGTGATGACACAAGATATTCGGGAAAGCACAAAATAAACAATCATTGATGATCTTGATTCCGTGAAATAATATGACAACATAATCTAGCAAAACGGTATCGCAATCGTTCAGTCTTTGAAAACATATTTGAAAAACAAAAGTAATAACATATGGAAGTATGAGGTATTCTCTTCATTATCTCATGTGTTCTTTGTAAACTTAAGAAGTCCAATGCCAACAGATTTCCAAGAAGAATAACAAACACGACCAACCAGCGTGACATGTTGTGACGGAAAACAAATTTCTCCCCCGTAGTGTTCTTGTACAATTCAGCGCACTGTTCATAACAATGTTCAAAACTCGAAACCCATTCTGTCAAATGAAATATTGTTACAGGTCCATGTGCAAAGTTATGCTGACATAAAGCGATATACACGTCACGTGTTTCCTTGTATATTGTACTGGCGAGCGTTGGAATGTTTCATCGTGTATTTGACATGTGGACTTGAAAGACGGCTGCCTGCCTGTAACGTCTCACCTTTACGTGACATCCCCGCTGCCAGACATTTCTTGTAGCGGCAGTTCTGGCACCTGTTGCGTCCTTGCTTGGATACGTCACAACGACCGTCACACTGTGACACGAATACAGGCTCGCCGTCCTTCGTGCAGCGTATGAAGAAACTCTACAATGAGGGGAAAGTACTAAAAACAAACCGCCGACGTGTCCTCGAGTAAGGTACAGAAAGATATCGCGCTAACCTGCCACTAGAGTAACATACAGATAGGTGTCACGCCAACATGTGACTCGAGTAACATACAGATAGGTGTCACGCCAACATGTGACTCGAGTAGCATGCAGATAGGTGTCACGCTTACCTGCTACAAGAGTTACCTGCAGACAGGTGTCACGCTTACCTGCTACAAGAGTAATTAACATGCAGACAGGTGTCACGCATACCTGCTACTAGAGTAACATGCAGACAGGTGTCACGCTTACCTGCTACAAGAGTAACATGCAGACAGGTGTCACGCTTACCTGCTACAAGAGTAATTAACATGCAGATAGATGTCACGCTTACCTGCTAGTAGAGTAACATGCAGACAGGTGTCACGCTTACCTGCTACTAGAGTAACATGCAGACAGGTGTCACGCTTACCTGCTACTAGAGTAACATGCAGACAGGTGTCACGCTTACCTGCTACAAGAGTAACCTGCAGACAGGAGTCACGCTTTCCTGCTACTAGAGTAACATGCAGACAGGTGTCACGCTTACCTGCTACAAGAGTAACATGCAGACAGGTGTCACGCTTACCTGGTACTAGAGTAACATACAGATAGTTGTCACGCCAACATATCACTCGATCAACATACAAATAGGTTGCTCTGAGTAAGCCCATGCCCTAATCCGTGTATTATCAGATTCGGCCCGGTGCACAGGCCCTCGTGTCTTTGCGAGGATTAAAGATGTTTAAAAAACATATAACATTTGAGATGACCCCCGACTCGAAATGCTTCACAGTACAACATAATGTATTGTACTGTGACGGGGGTCATCTCAAAAAAATATTTTTTAATCGTTAATCTTCGCAAGGACACGAGGGCCTGTGGCCCGGTGTGCCACTGTGAGCTGCAGGATATGCACCTCCGATTGGTTACAAATCATGGCAATATTTTGTCAATAACATACATGCTAATCTCACATACGACTAAATCTACATGTATTTTATACAGGAAGTGAAATGTTCAACCGAAAATGAAAACCGGTGGAGGACGCCACATTTTCGTTTCAAAGCTGATTTGGTCCACGATCTGGAATCCTATTCAAAGTTCACGTTTGATGAAAGAAAGTATTCCTAGACACATTCCACATGCAACAGAAGATTTATTGGTTGTGATCTCGACCAGGAGAAAAGAATATGAAACTTTGGTAATGATTTTGTGTAACCCAGAGCGAGGGTGTTTAGTTATACAGATAGCCTAACGAGTATCGTTTAAAACTGAAACTGACATGTAAAAGCTATATTTACCTTGCACGGGAGACAGACTAACGCACCAAAGAAATTTCCACTGGCTTTTTCACCACATACTTGGCACGGGCCACCAGAGGACGTCCGTGGCACCGAAAACACGCCTGGTTTCATACCATCGGGGGAGAGGTTACCTTTGCTGGTAAAATTGGCAAACACTGAGTTACAGTGGTTGGCATTGGTCACCTGCATTGGTTGAAAAGTGTTATCTGTACACTTGCTTGTATTTGGCTGTACAGAAGGCACTAGATCTTTTCTTTCTATTTCTACACCTTTATGTCTTGCATTGACTGTCCTTGAAGTTCCAGCGAGAAGACGCGAGTTCTTGCCCCTGTCCCTGGATTCTTTGATGTTCCATGACGGAGCATTACCATTGAAGGAATCAATGGACAACTTTTCTTTGTCCAACCGTAGGCGACCAGATGAAGCATGTGTTGTTACATGTGCATAATCCTTGTCATATGACCCTCCTTCAGTATCAGTTACCATGGATTGCATACAGCCAGGGTCATCTATAGGAGGTGTGAAAACCTGCCTGGGTGAGTCCAACCTCTCACTGGGGCTACACCCAGGTGAATCGACTGCTAGAGACCCATCAAGACATAACGAACTAGGGGATCCACATCCAGAAATCTCCTCATCCGCTGGCCACTGCATTGGCATGCTTAATAGCAATGGTCGAAGACGTTTGCACTGGCTTTGTGGGTCATCTGACCATGACAGCAAACGAAGAGGCAACCATTGACTGAATGGTCATTGTATATCCCTCTGTTCTCATCCTTAGAGATACTGAAGACGTCGACTGTCAGCCGGATCTGAAACATAGACACACATTCGTCACACTCGGGTAGACTAACTCGAACCATAAAGATGACACGCTGGCTTTAAAAGGGACGAGTTTTATTGAGTATAATAAAATTTACAAAACACGTATATGGTCCATTGTATCAAGTGATTGTACTCGTCAACAGCAAGGAAAGGAATTATAGTGCGTGTGGGAAAGGCGGTCAAACACACAGCCATGTTAATATGGGAAGCTTATGCCATCTCGTCCACACAATGTCATAATGTGAATTATTGTACACGAGACATGAAATATGTATTTGATTTATAGGTATGACAGAAATGACAAATAACCGCGTTTCATTCGTATTTTTGCACCGACAATAGAAATTGACCTTTCAAGTTTAAGAAGCAATCACACTTATTTAACCCAAGTATATAATAACTACATGTATTCTCTTTGTGTGGTATACCTATATGATATGAGGTCAGTGTGTTTGTTATTACAGTCTTCACGGTACACGAAGTGTAGAAGGTAGAATAAATATGGTAGCGGAAATTCGGTTGTAGGGGGTACATGTGATATTTTACTTCATGCTGATTGAAATTGAAACCGTTGTCAAAGGTATCCCTCGTACTAGCAATCTGACTCTTCTACCTGCGTTTCCAACAATTCATCACAAGTTAAAGGAGACATTTTGTGGAAGAACAGGCAATGGCTCGCTAATTCGTTTACCGAGGGCCAACAGAAGTATCCTTTCTTGATCACTGAAAAGGGAGATTGCTAGGTAGTTCAAAAACGTTCCAACAATCCAGGCTTTCAACTCTTCTTTAGGAAAACGAAAATCTCAATCTCACTCTCGTAACTATTAATTGACTTTAGAAGAGAGTTTCTTTTACAAAACAAAACAAAAGGCAGCTTTCCAAACAGTTTTCATATCTACCCGAAAGGATGAGCATCGATTGTGGGGCGGTGGGGTAGTCTAGTGGTTAAAGCGTTGGCTCGTCACGCCGAAGACCCGGGTTCGATTCCCCACATGGGCACAATGTGTTAAGCCCATTTCTGGTGTCCCCCACCGTGATATTGCTGGAATATTGCTAAAAGCGGCGTAAAACTAAACTCAGTCAGTCAGTCAGCATCCATTGTCATTTTCTAAAGGTATACCTCGTAACACCAATTTGACACCTCTACCTACGTATCGAACAATTCATCACAAGTAAAAAGCGACTTTTTGCGGGAAAACAACAGGCGGTGTGGCTCGCTAATTTGTATGAAAGTTGCCGACACAGCTATCCTTTGTTTTAAAAAAAAGGAGAAAGTTCTGTAGTTCAACAACGTTCCGGCATTCCATTCTTATTACTCGTGTAGGAAGATGAAAAGCTCGGTCTCAAACCCGCTATCGTAACGATTAACCGATTTTGGAAGAGTAAACCTTCTAAAAGAACTCTGTTTCCCAAACAGCTGACAAATCTACCCATACGAATGGGCATTCACGGGCATCGGTTTTCTGGTCTTCGTGGTGAGGATTTGACTCAGTGACAAGAATGATGCCCCTAGCTTCCCTATGTTGGCTTGTACCGTCAGCTCCCGTGTAGGTTTTTTCAGGTTAACAAGTGTAATGCCTTAGTGTCTGTGATGGTTGCCACCAATGAGGCGGGATACCCTTAATATTTCGCGAACATAGTTTATCATCACTATTTTGGTGAACACAGATTGATGACAGTTGCTCACGTAACAGTCGGAATGGTACAATCGACTCTGTTTTAGCAATGTGGCAGTGGAAACCGTTTTGTTGCTTTTATTTGCATATTTCCTATGTGAGAAGGTGTTCCTCAAATAACTACCTTTTGTGAATGGGCATCTTCACAAACCTTCTCGTGTGAAAGGGTATGTTCGCATTTAATGTGAGCATGAGACAAGATAGACAATTGTATTCCGTATAATATGATAATTAAGAGAAACGGTAAAACAATCCATCCTGACATCGCATTGCCCGAAGACAATCAAATAATGTTGAAAAAGAATACAGTACTATATTATATTAAGGCTATGCACATTAAAGATGCATTATTTTACTTCATCAAAGCACACTAATTAAAGTAAACGTGTATCACTTATTCATTAGAATATATGACTGACTGACTGAGTTTGGTTTTACGCCGCTTTTAGCAATATTCCAGCAATATCACGGCGGGGGGACACCAGAAATGGGCTTCACTCATTGTACCCATGTGGGGATTCGAACCCGGGTCTTCGGCGTGACGACCCAACGCTTTAACCACTAGACTACCCCACCGCCCCTTAGAATATATGAAGGTGTAGATGTATGGAAACACAATATAATGTCATGAACTACGTATACACACCTACTGATCACAGTGAAAGCCTAATAGTTTACTTTTAACTGAAACCAAACTTAACAATAAGATCCACCTTTATAATACCATCAACAACAGTTGAATTAGAATATTTGTAAAAAAAAAATGTAAATGTGGACTAAGATGTAAAATATAGTTAAATGTGCAGAGATAGGTTTGTTAGCATGACACAAATTAGTTCAAGCTAGGTTACGGTTGTGTCAAAGCTCGGATAACTCGAAGTATTTACGCAGGACCCTTCAGCTTCGACACAACGGGGTCTGACTGTAGTTGATTCAAATAATTTGAACATTTCGGCATTTCGGGACTTATCATGTATTATGTGGTGTCAGGGTTCATAAGCACGGGGTTAGCGCAGTGGCTCCATTCCCCACATGGGTACAATGTGTGAAGCCAATTTCTGGTGTTCCCCGCCGTGATGTTGCTGGAATATTGCTAAAGGCGGCGTCAAACCCAACTCACTCACTCACTCACTCATACAACACGTCGCATACATCTGAAAAGTATTCTCCTGTAAAGGTACGAGGCTTATATCTTAGGTAAGTCTCACATATAGGAAATGGAATAAGAATGCAAATCACGTTTGACTAAACGTATCTCTTACAGCTAGTGACACTGAAGTGTTTAAAGCCGCACTGATCTGGAACAATTCCCCGGGGCTGGTTTTTGCTATTGTTATTGTTTTTCCCCGTGCGAACCCGGATGATGTCCCAGAATTCTTGCCTGGTTCGCGACCTCATTTGCGTCAACCGTAAGCGCAATTGATAATGTTAGGGCGTATCCTCCTATGATCAACAAAGATTAAATTAATTGATTGGAAAATGTTGCAGTCTTTGTGACCCCTTAATGTTTCACGTATTTTATAAACTGGTATGCCCATCTAGTTTATCAGTAAAACAATTCGAAACTTTTTTAAAGTTTAATTTCATCGCCTAGTGGCTAGAAGTGTCAGGATTGAAGGAAGATGAAAGTCAATGTACGTAAAGAAAAATATATAGTTTAAGATTATGTATCGATTATTCCGGACAAAACCACAACTTCCACTCTGTTTTACCTTGTTTTCCATACACAAACATCATATAATATTGATGGTAATCCACAATATAAAATCCCAAAGCATTAAACCAATGCTTGACAACTCTTATAGAACAGTTTACTTGTATAAAGATGGACTAAGTCAATAGCACTCGCGTCTTAACCAGACATACTCGCGGACATACAAGATTCATACTGGAGAACACTTACTTTTGTATCAAATAGTTTTGACTTTTTGAGTAAGAAGGATCCACATATTTTTTCAGTTTGTAATTCTCTGAGAAGAAATATCTGGGAGCAGCTCCTGGTAGCAGATAAACAACCAAACAAGACTTTCATTATTAAAATATGGATTGACATTTACTTCGCGGGACAAAATTTGCTTACTAAGCTTACAACTGGTTTTCAGCGCTATTCTCGCTGCGACACATATGGGAGGATCGAAGAACGAGAAGCTGTACATTAAAACAAAGGATATAGAATAAACAGTTAAAGCCAAACTGACAAGTTTTTGAGACTTTTCGCGTGAAGCTATCAGTGAACATCAGTATTATGTATAGTACAAAACTAGAGGGTATCCCTTCAAAGAATCCAGGTAAACGACATGTGATAACAAACATGAAGACTGAAATCTGTGATAAATTGTTCTGAGACATAATGATTTACCATATATTATATTTTCTGTTCTGATAGACATTTTTTTATACACAGATATAAAGACTACTCTGCGTGTTCTCTTAAGAAAAGTCGGAAACGCACCTTTTCCAACCATCTACAAAATTTGCTACAGCAAATGAATGAAAACAAAATACGTATATTGTAATTACAACCAAAAACATATAACAACATGCAGTTACTTGTTCGAGGAAAATAACGTCAAAATCCACACAAAGGAAGAAATGTGTTCGACGACACGTGTCTTTGAATATGATCTAATATATAATAATATATATCCCGCGATACCGCTTATAACCCATCGTCTCCTGTCAACCGATCACGTAACATTGTTTCAGGTGGTCACGTCGGTGTCATGTCTCCTTGGTCAAATAGATAGTACACGTGACATTAATGAGTTTTCATATCCACGGTTCTTTTAAAAAGTCCTTTCAGGTAGACAACGTTGAGCATTCAGCGTACTATCGTATACAACGTACAAAGAGAGATAGATAGCTGGATCCAGACATATTCCACCAAAAGACTGTCTCAAAAACTAGCCATAAGTCTTAATACTATGAAGGAAGGACTTTCGGTATATTCACAGAAGATATTTCAGGGAAGCCATGTTTATATGCTTCCATTTTTACAAATCTCAGAAACGAGCCAGGGTTCAGTTTTGTTCCCCATTTTGACTTCAAGCATACATTTGGTCAAGACTCAAGATTAGTTACAGTTTTACATGTACAGATCGTCGTCATGCAGTTATAATATTTCTTAGTGAGGAGTTAGACAAACAAACACATGCTCATAATATACCTGAAATTGTATAATCGGGTTTTATTATGGGGGCTGAAATGATTTTGTCGCTCCTATTTATATATAGGTTTTTATATATGGATGTATTCGATCTACTTTAGCAAGCCTACATATATGAACACTTTAGCAGGATAACAATGATTGA